AGCTCTGGTTCTTGAACCAGTTCTGTTTTAAGCAGAACCACTGTAGTCAAGGATGTGTCAACAAGAGAGGGTGCACAACAACCTGTAGAATATGACACGCCCAACTGTTCTTAGTTGGTGGAAAAGGCCTATGGGAGGACCCTGGACAGGCATGTTGAACCCTTTGAAGGCTCAGTGGACCTTTTTTATTAGATCCATCATAATATCAGTTTGTTGAGGCTTACAGTGCCTATAATATCAAGACTTGTACTACATTAAGGTAAGGCATTAATTTATAGGGCAACCTTTACTGTGATCATATATCTTTTTATGCTTAATGCTTAATAAGTATGGCCACCAAGATATTAAATTATCCGAATTATGTTAGGATTCAACACCAAATACAAGAATTGGTCAGTTTGGTGTTGGGATTATATTCACTCCACTCAAATTTGTGAAGCTCTAAACAACAGAAATAGAAGGAAGTGGCATGCACTGCAAAAAGATGCATGATGTGGAGGGGACCAGGAATGGAGAACAGAGATGTGTGGCAGGCATGATAGTCTTACCATGGCACCAACGCTGTATGTGGCTGCTGGAGTGAGTGTGTGGTTATAGGGGTCGGCAGCATATACTCGTCCGTAACTACAGAAACACATGAAACAACAGAGGATGGTTAAGAGACATGTTAATATTGATATAAATATTAATGTTGAGAAATGAGATCTATGAATAAGTGTGTTAAAGTGTACAGTAAATTGTAGTATCAACCAGAGTATCACACATATATTACCTTATTTTTCTACTGCACAAATTATTGCTCTGTTAAATCAGTAATGCACAGTTGAAGATATAAATTACCAAGAATTTAAGGGATTATACCTTTTGACAGAGTGAAATAAAACCAAGTCCAATGGCCTGCTTGGAACAATAATGTGTGTCTGATATGTTTTTTCTGCAAACAAAATATAATTTTCATGTTAAAATCCTTAAAACGACATCTACTTGACTTCAGGTTTAAGCAAAAAGCTAACGTTAGGCTATAAACGAACTACACCTCTATGAGTTCAACATCACCACCACTAAACTTCCAACTTGTAATTAAATTTTATTAATCACCTTTTTTAAGACACACAAAAGCTTTAACTTTCAACATACATTCACTGATGTATTTTGTGTCATAAAACAAAACGTGAGAATCTCTAAAGCTTGTGTTAACCACAGACTTAATTTCAGACATCTAACTAAAGAACCAATAAAAAAACAACATTGAATTTGAGGAGAGGGGACCAGAAACAAAAGTGCTAACTCAGTTCAAGGGTTTTAGGACTCTTTCCTGCAGCATATATCTTCCAACCCACAGAGGCTTGTGTAGCTATGTTTTTCCTCCTTTCAAACTCAGGGGTGGAGTTACTCTATAAATTTAAAAGAGGTCATTCTCTGGGAAGCATGAATGTGCTCGGTGGTTTCCATGACAATTGTTAATTTTTATTACAAGATTACAAGAGTCTATTAAAAATTATGAATTCTTTTCTGTATTACACCTTTTTTTGGCCTGATAGTGAAGAATAAAGGCCAGGGAACCATTAAAAAATAATCATCCTCTCAGCAACATTATTATCCAAAACAAACTCCAAGGCAGTCTGGCCAGTAGTAGGAGGTATGTGTGGACCAAGCAGCAACCTTTGTGGCTGACAAATGGACCCAACACGGAAGTGCCAACAACTGCAGTTCCTTTAATAGTCACTTGAGGCTGGCTTCAGCAGTGAGTCAATCTCTATTAGGGCCCCATATTAAAATCCCCAACTGTACAGCAGAAATAAACATGTTTACAGACTGGTACAAAAAGCGCTTTTGGTCTCTATAGCTAATTTTCCCGTTTGTGACAACTGTACTGGGGTAAATTTGTATACAGCTCACCCATTTAAAGGTCCAGTGTGTAACAATTAAGATCTATTGACTGTTTTCAAAAGTGTATAAATACCTGAAAATAAGAATCGTTGTCTTTTTGTTAGCTTAGAATAGATAGATAGATAGATAGATATTTAGATAGATAGATAGATAGATTGATCGAATTAAAGATCACACCTGTCTGCACAGAGTTTAAAAAGTAATAAAAGGCAGATGAGGAGCCAAAGTCACGATGTTCATCAGATGGTCATTTGGTTTTGGGTGTTTCAGCACCATGGACAGTTGTTTGGGGCTTTCAGCACCACGGACAGCGAACCCCGGACAATCCCTGTGGAAGGAGATAGAGATAGATATATATAGAGAGAAAGAAAGAGAGAGGGTGGGGGGAGAGCAGGGCGAAAAGACAAATTTCTGAATGAACAGTAGATGATAGCTGTGTGGGAGTCTGAGGGAGGGGGCTGATACACTGTGAAGCATCATGAATCATTACCCTGTGATTGGACCTGCTTACGTGGCACTGCTTCTCAATGGCCTTGAAAGGCAAATCAGTGAAGACAACTGTCTAATAACGATGTCTCGGACAATCAAATCGTAAGAAATAAAGAAAATAAAAATGAATTCACGTAAATAGGGTTACATTTGAATTGATTATTTATTTATAGTGTAAATATTAAATGTACAGATCCTGTGATGACTTCATGTATAGCTTATTATGTATGCTCAAAAGTTACAAGGTACAACACCAGTAACAACATCAGCAGGTAAAGTTACGAGGTCCTCATGAGGAGTGGACCTCAAGCAGAAGAATGATGTGAGCGACTTGATGGATCTCCATCTCAAACAGTTTAATGGGATTAGACTGCAGTGGAGGACTGTTAATATCAACGGACAAAATCTGGTAAAGGAACACAACAACCATTTGATTTACTGTATCTGTCGATATATGACCAAAATAATGAGTCTTTTAAAACTCACCAGCATCACATACGCCTATAATTAAATGTCCTAACATTGATTTTGGCTGAGCTGGTAGAAGAAGGGGCGTTAACCTGGAAGGGAAAGGTGGTCCTGGCTATTTTTAGCTTAAGGCCACTCATTTCCCTTGTGGTTTGAAGTCACTGGCGTCTTGTTTTTCACAACCTACGGCGAACAGTGGGCATAAAAACAGATGGGATTTGAATTTGCTCTGGTGCTTTGCTGGTGGTGTAGAAAATGAGGGAAAGAGGACTGCAAAGAGGGAATCTGGGACAAGTAGACACAGTCTGTATAATAACTGTAACCAAGTAACCAAAAAAAGGGAAGATGTTTTAGTAAGACAAGTATATTGTAGCATCAGAGATAGAAAGCATTAGCAGTTTAGATGGCAAGTCTACCATGAGAGGCCAATCCAAGTGACCCCATCGACACCCGGCTGAGATGCCGGTGCGTTATGAATAAACAGCCCCTCTGATAATTCCCATGGTTTCGGTACGAGTCTCCGGGGAATCGTGGAGGCAATTGGTGGCAATTCTCCCCACCCCTTGGGTCATTCAGCGAGATCGGATTTTACTCCCCTTCGCTTTGTCAACAAATGATTTGCTTTCAAGGCTAATTTGGAAATTCTTAAATTGTGTGCGAGGTCTCAGAGTGGTGGGCTCTAATGAATGAAAGAGTGGTTGAATGAATGAAGGAGAGACAGATCGGTGAATGGGTGGGCAGTGGGCGGAGAGGGAAAGAGGTGGGGGTGGGTCACATGGATGGATCACACAGACTTTAAAGGGCTGTATTTCCCTCTTAAAATGCTGTGGCGATCCCTGAAACTGGAGACGCAATCCCAGTAATGTGGAACCATCAACATTTGACTAAGAAATAAAGAAAACCTGCACACTTTGATAACATTTAGCAGCATGGACGCCCACCGTTCACTTCCCCGCCACAGTGGAAGACTCTTCGGTTGTTGGGTTAATATATGACAGTGAAGGAGGATACATGCAGTGAGGTGACAGCCCTTCATTGCAGCAATCTGGCTGTGCATGGTCTCCGGTCTGCATGAGGTGTCATCATGTGATTGGTCTTTTGGGACAGAGCACTAAACCTGTCAAAGCCTTTCAGCACCATGGACAGAGACTGGTCCCTGATGTGACCCTGCTGATGGAGAACGGGTGAATGAGGCCACACTGTGATGAAATGGCCTCCCATACATTTTCCTTTATCAGCTCGGTCATAAGAAGGAACCTGTCCACATGTCCCCTATATGGCATTATATTTTATCCCTCTCAGCGTGGACAATGAAAGGCTTTCTGACCTCTAGCGAAGGGCGCACAGCTCCTCGCAGGGAGGGAAAGGCGAATCTTATGAATGGCTTGATTGATGGATACAGAGATGGAGGCAGGGGCTGGTTTGCTGTGGAGGGAGGAGGAGGAGGAGGAGGAGGAGGGGGGGTCACCATAAAAAGCCTGAGCATATTGTGCAAAGCTCTCGTTTCATTGGTGGAGATGTATTCAATGAAAAAAGTGGTTTTATTAGCTGTAGCTGAGCAGGATTGGCAAAGGATTTGCGTAGAATGTCTCTCCGGCATAATACCTGCAGGTTGGGGTAACTGATGCCCCCACGTGTTGCCACAGAGTCGTTAAACTGTACAGTATCCCAAAGGCAATATTAGTGAACTGCAGTGACTCGAATAATAGTGTGGAAAATGTCAGTTTTTGGGTGTGCTCTCCTGCAGCGTGCTGGGGAGCGCATATATGTCTGAGGGCATTTAAAGCTGAAGTCTCGAAACTCCCAGCTCGCCTCGCCATGCTGAGGAATCCATTGAGAGAATTTCGCAGCGTTAGTCATCGCAACAACTATCCGCAGTGTGTGTAGTAGTCGCCTATAGCCTCTCTTGCACCTCTTGCACTGGAGATCCACAGTGGGCGCCGTGCAGGGCTTGGCTACAGACGCACTCTGTGCTGTGTGTCTGTGCACTGCGTGCGTGATTTCTCTTGCACCCACCCGCAGAGGTTTAACACAGTCGACCGGCATGGTCACATGCTGGTTGGGCCGGTGGCGGTGTGCCGGTGGGTGCCCGGGTCATTAGGGTGTTTGCGCAGGACGTGGCGAGTCGACGCCAGTGACCGGGCAGGTGATGTTTGCTCACGTAAGCCGCTCGCGTTTGATGAGGGGCGCAGGGGACGCGGCTGGAGGGTGCGCGCTACTGTTGCATCGCCTCACCGGATAACCGCTGCTATCTCATCCCGTCCGTCTGTCCCTCCCCGGTTTTCTGTTCTCTTTTTTATATTTTGCTTACCGAACTAACGGATTTGCAGGAGTGGGACTCTTTTGGCGATCGAAATAAGTGGATAAAGGACCCGACCTTGCGTGTGCGTGTGCGTGGAGTGCGTATCGTTTCCTGTGATTCCCCTGTACGCGCAAGCTGCTTTTTTCATTCCAGAGAGGCAATGCGCCCACCCATGCGATGCTAGCCTATTAGCTGGAGAGAGAGAGAGACAGAGAGAGAGAGAGAGAGAGAGAGAGAGGTTTCAGCCCTGGATTCGAGAGGAGGCTAATTTACGAGTCTTGTTTTGCCTTTCAGGAAAAGGGGAGATAAGAGGGGGAGGGTGGTTGGTGAAGGAGAATGCAGCAATCACATTTTTAAGCATGCAGAAGCGGGCCGTTTCCGGTTCCTAGGCTGGTGTGTCCCCCCATCCGAGGCCAGCAGCCGTATGGGGAAAGCAGCGGCAGACACAGATGGCATGGACACTTCCACAACGTCTGCCGCTCTGCCCTGCCTGCTCTGCCGGAGCCCGTTCGCCGCCGTCTCTCTCTTCCAGCTCGCTCCGCCGCCCAGCAGCACTGCAGCACAGCACAGGCTGACGGCATGAGGCTTGATCCAGTGCATTTCTCCATGCTGGTCATCGGGGTCTCCTTCGCCTGTTACGCCCCGAGTCTCAACTCCCTCCAGGACCAGGCGTACCGATCAGCCGTGGTCATCGAGGGCGAGGTGCGCTCCTCCCCGGAGAACGTCTCCTCCCGGGAGCCCTACAGTGTGAATGTCAAAGTGCTGGACGTGTGGCCCGTCAACAGCGGCGGCCTCGAGAGGGAGCAGCTCGTGACCGTCGGGGACTTCGGTTCCGAGGCCCCGTGCACCACGGTGGAGAAGGACCACAGATATATCTTTTTCATGGACCCGACCGCCGAGCCCTTGGTATTCAAGGCATCGTACGCCCCTGTGGACGCCAGCGAGCCGGAGCTGAAGAAGGATGTGGAGAGAGTGTTGTGCGAGGACTGCGGTAAGTTTAAGGCTTTTTCCGTTCTACCTGCCATACACTCACACCGCACTATAAGGGCCACTGAAGCTGCCATGGTGATGTAAGGAGACAGTCACCGCTCTCTGGCTGCGCGTGCGCGTGTGTAGTCTATATAATGTGTCAGCGTGCGTACACACATGCATGCGCGCGAGCCATTTGACACTTCAATCCTCCATAACCCGGTCACCCATAATGAAATGAGAAGCATGGCAGGGAACGCGTGTGTGCATGTGTGTGTGT